TGGGGCCTGCTTGAGGCAATCGATGAATAACAGGATGGTCGTGATCATGATCGTGATGATAGAAAGCATATCCAAATAGATTCAAAAGCATTTAGGATTACAATTTTTTATTGATTTAGGTCTTCTAAAAATTGAAGTCACTTTATCAAATCTTATTTACAGTCATAATAAGGTATTTTTAGTTGTTATTTTTAGATCCTAAATGATCTAAAAATACTGCCCACCCCTCCCCCAATTTCTTATTTGAGAGTATCGTAAGGCCTCAATTGTTCAAATTTGCATGCTCTATAAAAACACATATTTGAATACATTATGCTCATAAAACATGAACATCTCTAAATAAAACTCCTAAGCAACCACACTAATTGAAGGTAATAAAAAGATATGATAGAGACATAGGACATTAAGACATATATTAAGGAAAGTCTTCAACGCAGGAAAACTGTTTATGATCTGATCCTCTCCAAATTCTACTTCCCAATATTTTACGTAAGTGAAAATTGATTTAATAAAAAGTGCACATTAAGGGTAAGTTTTATATGAGTCTTGTTATAACAGCATTATTTTCAATGACAGCTCAAATATTCATTGAGCACCTATTACACCAATTTCAGTTTTATGCCAGTAAAGTGCTACTGAAAGTGTATCAGAAAATCAGGAGTTCCTAACCAAGAAGGGAGAATGCATTCAAGCTAACCCTATATTTTCTATCTTCAAATTGACTACATAGCAGGCGACTGAACGACATATTTATTCTAAAGTTTTTCTTTCCTTTGTATCATTAACCATGCATTTTTCTCCCAGAGTGTGTAGTTCACCATCATGCTTCCTTGGATGGGTGCACTGGAGCAATTCCTCACCATTCATGCTGGCCTGGGACAGATTTGTTTAAAGACTGTTTACATATTTCACAATCATGGTCTGCAAAAGAATCACCGAGACCTCTATGACTTAAAAATAAAATAGAAAATTGAATGCAGCCATGTTAGTTCTGCTCTAAAGTAGCATAAAATTCAGACATTTTTGGTCAAGTGATAGCTCTTTGGGTAGGTATTTTGCCTTGCATGCAGCCAACCAGGGTTCAATCCCTGGCATCCCATATGGTCCACCCATGCACCAGTAGGAGTAAATCCTGAGTGCAGAGCCAGGATCAATCCCTGAGCATTGCCAGGTGTGGTCCCTCCACACACAACCCACAAGAAGTAAAAAAAAAATCAAACACTTTGCAGAAAGTGACAAGTTCATAAAGAATAAGGATAGAGAATTATTTGAACAATGAAAATTCAGGCCTCAGCTTCATAACCCCAGGCCAGTGAGACCCATTTGTTCCAGGGATCTTTCACTTAAATCAGCATAAATATGGTACTTTTTATCTGTGATATTAAGGAAACACTAATTTCAGTTTCCATATTTTATTTCCTTTGGTCTTTTTTAAAATATGAATGTTTATTGGGACTGGAGAGATAGTATAGTGGGTAAGGAACTTGCCTTATATGCAGCTGACCAGGGTTCAATTCCCAGCACCATATTTGGTCTCCCAAGTACACTAGGAGTGATTGCTGAGCACAAAGCCAGGAATAACCCTTCAAAACAACTGGATGTGGCCCTAAAATAAAAATAATTGAGTAATTATTATTTATATAAAAGTAAATACAGATTATGGAAGATAGTAAATGGCCTTAAAGCTTCTCCTTCATGTCAGATATTTAGAAATATTGTAGGAAAAAACCCAAAATACCTTAATTTATTTCATAGGGATCACTCTTAATGATGCTGGGTGGGGGGAAGGGCAGGACCATCTTCTGGTCAAGCTGGGTGCTTATGACTGCCCAACCTGGTGGTGATGGGGAGGGGTGTATCAAAACCAGGACACTGCATCTGCTAAGCATGAGCTCTATCACTTAATACGTATCCCTACCACCCAAAGTATCCCCACTGAATTGCATAGTTGAAATTGCAAGAGTAATGGGCAATGCCAAGTAATAACAGAGGGTGTCCTAAATCACAGCAGCAAACTGGCAAGTAAGATAGAATTGGGCTCAACATTTGCTTCCTTTCCTAGTGGGCAGGCTTTTGGGAATTCTTTGCAAGCCAGAAAGAGATCACGGGCTCAACTGCAGAAAAGGATGGAATCATGCATCCACAAAGTGTTATTTCATCAAGGAAAGTTTAGACAGGAAAATAAGAAACAGTTGCCTATAAAATATCAATGAGAAAGGCCAGAGAGACAGTTTAACGAACTGAGATGGGAAGACAGTTTGGTTGAATCTGAGGAGGCCCAGATTCAATCCCTAGCACCTTATGGTCTCCCAAGCTGCGATTGACCCCCAAGCACAGAGCCAGGAGTAGGCCCAAAGGACCACCATGTGTGGCCCCAAAGAACCTAAAAACAAACCAACAAAAACTATGAAAAGAAAAATATTTTGAATTCAAGCAGGTGTATTCTCGATTGGATTTATACTCTGAATTCAGGACCCTGCCCCAGTAAAAATAAATAAATAAATAAATAATAAAGCAATCCTTGAATGGAAATGCCCGAGTGACTGGCAGATCATATGCAAATCTTCAAAGGGCTGTGCTCTCAGACCTGTTCTCATGGGGTTCCACAGACACAGCTGGACTACACCAAAAAAGCTAAGAGACACGTCTCAGTCCCAGTTCAGCAATGCTAGCATCTCTTCATTTTTTCCCAAGAAAAAAATATTAAAAAACAAATTTCTCTCCTAGTTATATGCCTAAAACCCAAAGCACTGCAGGGGAAATAATGAGATTCAGACCAATCTCCTGGAATCTAGTTCTTGAGAACAGAAGAATGAATCCATGAGAAGTGCAGGAGAAAAATCAAAGCCAAGCACTGTTCCTTTTGAGTCACAAACAGGACATTAGGAAACTGAGAGCAAGCCTGCTTTCCTGGAAAGGCCACGGGAAGGAATTCAGCACAGTCCTCAAGAGGGAACCAAGAGTGATCAAGAGTGAGTGACCAAACTCCAGAGACTGGCAGAATTAGCAGTGCTAATCAAGGCAGCTATAGAGTAAGTCACTGAATATGCTGACAAAATTGGGAGCTACTTTTCATTGCTAAATGGAGATGTGTTTTATGCCAGAAAATATGTCAGGACTCTTCAAGCTGTTTCAAATGTCTGCTGTCTTTATGTTTCACATGAGGCAATAAATAAATAAATTAATTAAAGTTTTTCTAGCTGACAGCAAGCCAGACCCCAAAAGTCCAGGAGATGAGTCAAATATCTTGGTTGCAGAAATGTTTGGCCTCACTCTTAGAAATGTGGACTGTGTAGAGACAGAGAGAGGGTTCTCTGCAAAGGTGCAGTACTGGAAGGAAATTCAGACCAAAAAAAGGTCATATCACTTGTACCACTAAGTGGTTAAGGAATTCTTCTGAAGAAACTAGTAGTTCAGTTTCTTTCAGCAAGCTGCAATGTACAAATGGCACAAATCTCAAGCATATTTTTAGTAAAAACTTGAAAATAAAAACCTCAATAAAATACCTTTGAGGAATGTCGAACTTAAACAATTGCTTTAAAAGGAAAACAAGGACTTTAAAGGTCTAAAACTAAAAAAAAAAGTCAAAATGTGTCATGTTCATATCATAGGTTGTTTTTGATGGGTTATTCCAATCTATCATTTTTGTTTCATCTGAGATTACTGAGCAAGAACAATCATTTTTGTACAGTGTTTATTCTGTGCCAGAGTGTTTCATAATTTATCTTCACACTTAATTTTCAACGTCAAGTTTTAGTTAAAACAATATAAAGCATGGTCTATACTAGTTTCTTCAACATCAAATTGCAAACTTCAAAATAGCTGCTTGATAGAATGATATCACAAAAAATAAATAGTCTCCTGCAGGAAGGTAGAAAGTAAAACTATAAAGCTTGCTCTCCTATCTAAATGGAAAACTCTTCAGACCAGCTAAATGTTAAAACTAATTTATGTTTAATTTGTTGAGTTGCCTTTAAAACTGGCATTCTCAGAGTGCATTACCTTCAGAATCTCCCTGTCGCTCCTTGATCCCAAGGCAGGAGGAAGAGAAAACACTCTCAAACCCATGAGCAATGTCTTGAGAGACTCCCAAAGGTTCTGAGGTCCACAGAGAAGTGAACACCTAGAAACCAAAAAAAGTGGGTGTTATCAGCAAACCATCTGGATTCTTCTAACTAATCCAAAACTTCATATGGTATGATGCCTTCTTCTCAATTACTAACTTTCTTATGTCTTTCTGCATTTCCTAGTTCCAAATTGTTCCTCTATCTTGAAATATTAGATTTTTCTGAGTTTGAAACTCAACATAATAAAATACATGTGAAAATATCCTCTACCTCCTTCGGCTTCTGAAAACTTTAATAACCTTCCATCAACCATATTCTGATATTTTTTTAACTTTAGTTCTAGCATTTCTTAACCCACTTCCTTACTCTGTTAAATACACACACACACACACACACACACACAGAATTGAACTGAACACAAGACAAGGCATTAGCATTCTCACCATACTCTGCATTCATTAGTTCTAATCTGGAGCACTGAATCAGTTCAAATTTTAAAAAGTTCCCTAACAAACAACAATGATAGAGAAATTGCCCTTAGGACAAGCTGAAGGAACTAGAAAGGTTTCACTTTAGAAAAGTTAAACAAAAGAAAATAAACCTGTTTAGGTCCTCCAATTAAAATAAATCTTTAATAATTTGATTATTATAAACATTGATGGGAACAGTTCTCAGTAGTTTGGTGGCAAGTATTTGCAGTAGAAACTTACTTACTGGTCTTCAGTTATATTTTTAACTACTACTTCTAATCATCCCCTCACTTCAGATGGGATGATAATGTTAGATAAAACCTCTTTATCAGCAATGCACTGGAACCCTAACCATGCTACTTTCCATATTCAACAAAACCCCTCTTTGCATAGATAAGTGTGCAAAAACAGAACATTCACACAGAGGCCAGAGTCCCATTGAAGATAACAAGAGAGACAGCAAATTTATTTTATACCAGGAAAAAAATAAAATGTTGAATATCTTGTGGAATTTTTGAACCTTATTTCAAAAGAATCATACAAAGAGGAAATGAAATTTAGTATGGTGGACCACGCTACAAGATATATTTGTAAGTATAAGAGTCTACTCATTTGTTGAGCAATGCAGTAAAGTTGATTTGGGAAAAATGATCAGCAGAAAAATTAGAAGGGTTGGAAAATTTCTTTTAAGGAAAATTTTATTAAGTAGATTTGGTGTTGTTGTTGTTGGCGAGGGGGGCTTATTGTTCTGCTTGTTTTTCTGTTTGGCTGGTTAGCTATTTGTTTATTTTTGGGGGGAAAAGGGGATACCTGGGGGAAGACCACACTAGGAAATGCTTGATAAATAGATTAACTAGGAAATACAAAATGTCTTCTTGGTCAATACAGGAGGAAACTAGCAATCCACATATAATTGAAACTTCTAAATAAGCCATGAAAGAAGTTTTAAGTTTAGAGTATGGTCTTTATTTCATGTGTTTTGTATGTATACGTTAAAAATATCAAAACTGTTTCAAATATAATGTATTAGCAAATAATTAGTTCAATAATTGAATCCGCCATATGGACTCTAAGTATGAATTGTTGCAAATTTGTTTTGAATATACAGAATTTCTTCATTCCTTAATTTTATGCCTAGTTACTTGGTTTTTCAAGAGAACACAGAGTTCTGGGTGATAAGGCAAAACCTTACTAAAATGAAATGGCTGAAAGTTTTCTCAAAATTTTATGTGATATTCTAAGTCATTAAATAAATTTCCTTGAGTGGATATAAATTTCTTTAAGTGTGGATAATAAACAGAAATAATTTACTAATTTCCTACCAAGATAGCAAAATACATTAAAGCATACGAATAAACTCAGCTTAAGATAATTCACTTATTTTCATAGTATTTTGATTACAAACTTCATAAAATGTCAGAGAAAATGTCAATCTGGAATAATATGAATCCAATTAAATTCATAGCTAATGAACACAAAATGGAAATATATTTTTGACTAGAATTCAATTGGGAATGAGTTGTGTTCTTTCTTAGGATAAAACAACGGAGGCAAAAATCACTATGGAGTCTTAAATTGTGTTCTAAATATAATAACTTCTGGCCCTGCTAAGAGGTTATTGAAAAATAAAAAAGACAAAGGAATTTACAGCAAGATAAAATATTCAAAAAAAGAAATGGAAAATAGAAATTTTAAAATGTAGGAATTTTACATTATTTTCATGTAAAAGAGTTAAAATTCTAGATATGAAGTTACTACACCAAAAATAGGGATAACCATAATTCAGCATTTATGAAGTGGAAAAATCATTTACTTAAAATTTATGGAAACCTTTTCAAATATGCATTTGAGATGAGGCACACAATAATTTGTTTTGTTTATTTTATTTTTAAGTCAAGGAATTTTTCCATAGATCATACCACCAACAGTCCTCAAAAAGTTGTGATTATAGCTTTGAAGCTTGTTCAGTTTCTCCATTTAGATTCATTCTATGTAATAAAAGTTTAGATTCCTTGGAGACCTCCCAAGCAGTGCTCAGGGAGCCACTCCTGGTTATACTTGGCCAATCTTCCTGGTGGTTCAATTCGAGGGTCTGATGATGCAGTGCCACTAAGCTGTTAGGTGCCAGAGACAACCAAAGACAATTTAGCAACGCTTGGGGGCTTCTAGGGCTACACCTGGTATTGCTTAGTGGTGCCTAGTAATGCCCAGAATAGAACTGGAGCAAGACACTCTAACTCTTTATTAGCTCTCTGACCCTGAAGATGTTCTTCATTGGACTTAAAAATAATTTTAATATGTCAATGAGACATTCCAATTTTAACCATGAAGAATTATACTTTACTAGTTTAGAATCTGGAGGCTGAAGAGAAAGTATAAGGATTAAGGCACATGTCTTGCATGCAGCCAATTCTGATTTGTTCTCCAGCATCACATGGTCCCCAATGTATTATTATCAGGAGCAACTCTGCAGGTTTCCGTCAAGTCCAGGTAAGGTCCTCCTAGAGATCCCTGGGCATTGCCAGCATGGCAAGGTGAGTTCCATTGCTGCAGAGATGGGATACGTCCTTGGTTCACTGCAGTGAACCACAGGCCCAAGAATAGCTGGGAGTACTTTCCCAAATCCCATGAGCATTGCTTGAGAAGTTAAAAAACAAATACATAATTGGAGGACCAGGAGATAGTACAGCAGGCAAGACATTTGCCTTGCACTTGGCTCACCTGGGTTCAATGCCTGACATCCCATGCAGTTCCCCTAACCCACCAGAAGTGAACCTGGTGTGCAGAGCCAGGAGTAAGCTCTGAACACATCCAGGTATGGGAAAATAATAATAATAATAATAATAATAATAATAATAATAATAGAATTTGGGGCCAAGGCAACTAGTCTGTATTAGAGTGTTTGCCATTCACATGGGCAGCCCTCATTGCTATTCCTTGAAGTACCAAAACAATAGTTTAGAATTTATTTTGTGGGACCAATAAAAAGAGATTAAGACACTTTTTTTAAAAAGGTGAGAGAGAGAGAGAGAGAGAGAGAGAGAGAGAGAGAGAGAGAGAGAGAGACTTGCCTTCATGCAGCTGACCTTGGTTTGATCCCTAGAACTACATATGGCTCCTTAAGCACAACCAGGAGTGATCCCTGAGCACAAAATTAGAATTAAGTTCTGAGAACCATCATTGGCGGCCCCAATACACCCCACCCAAATTTACTTTGGGAATTAACAAAAATAGACTAAAACATTATCAATTATAAACCTCTAAAGTGTTTCATTCTGTAAAGTTTAGTGTTATTAATCTGTAAGCGCAAATGTACTTCTCAATAACTATTGCTAAATGCAGGACTGCAGATACATACCACAAGTTAATTGAGAAATCCTCTGCTTTTAGTCAACAAATTAAATGCTCTTTGTTTTGTCAGATGAAATTTAATAAGCTAACGTCTATTCTCATCTTAAAAGTATGAGAATTTAAGTGTCCATCTTTTATCTGTTTTCTGTCTTCCAAAACTGGAGCACTGGAGCACTGGAGCACTGTCCTCCCGTTGTTTATCAAATTACTTAAGCGGGCACCAGTGACATCTCCATTGTGAGACTTGTTGTTACTGTGTTTGGCATATCGAATACATCATGGGTAGCTTGCCAGGCTTTGCTGTGCAGGCAAGATACTCTCGGTAGCTTTCCTGGCTCTCCGAGAGGGGCAGAGGAATCGAACCTGGCTGGTCTGGGCCACCCACGCGCAAGGCAAACACACCCTACCACTGTGTTAGCGCGCGGTCTTCCAAAACAATTTTTGAAATATTTTATTGTTACCTTTCTCCTTACTTAATCTCCTTTTTTGTGCGTTGGACTGAAGCGATAGCACAGTGGGTAGGGCGATTGCCTTGTATGTGGCCAACCCGGGTTCTATTCCTCTGTCCCTCTTGGAGAACCCGGCAAGCTACCGAGAGTATCCCGCCCACCCGGCAGAGCCTGGCAAGCTCTTAATGGTGGATTCAATGTGCCAAAAACAGTAACAACTTGTCTCACAATGGAGACATTACTGGTGTCTGCTCGAGCAATACGATGAACAACGGGAGGACAGTGCTACAAAGCTTTGTTTGTGTTTAATCCTTACGTACTCTTGCTATAGCATGTAAGGCATAATTTTATAGTTGTGTTCCCTGGAAGAGGTAACAATTCCTAAGGGCAAATATAAATGCTTACCAGAAGCTGGATTAAATATTTCTGTATTTATTTTTGAATTTCAATGCAAAAATCATGATGAACCTTGGGAAACGTTCTATAATATTCTAGCAAAGTCACAGTGCACAGTGATAGTTAATTCAAGAGCAATCAAAAGAGGGAAGTGCAGACATGTGCATGGACAGTCAATTCCACAAAATCTTAGAAAATAGGGAGGAAAGCCCAGTCTACGGAGTTCCTTGTCGGGTAGTGATAGAGAGGAGAGCTCTGCTCAACCAAGTTCAGTTTCTTTTATTCTTATTTGGGTGGAGCATACTTCAGGACTTACTCTGTGCTCAGAAAACCAGAGAATATTATACAATAGGATAATGTATGATCTGTCTATATTATAATTGCAAAAAAGCTGACGTAATTCTGTCTTTATTTTCATTAACTACTGATGATTATACTATATTTCTTGTTATTTCATAACAACACATTTGTGAATGTTTGACTCAGAATACCAACGTATAGACAACAACTTATTTATGATTATCAAGTAACATTTAGACAAAACACTTCAGGAAATTTGTACCTAATTCAAATGTAGTTAATTCAAATGTAAGTTACTTTGTACACTTATACATATTTTATATATTATTTAGTCATTTATATTTTTTCCTTTTCGAATTCACCCAACTACTCTGCCACTTAAGCCAGAGAGCCACCTTCTGTCCAAACAGAAACAGTACTAGAATTTAAAAGGATATCCCTCCCACTATATGGTGGAAGCCCTTCTTAGAGGGGGTGCACGGGTTGGCAAGAGGGATGTGTGTGAAGCTCTGCTGCATCACTTCTCCACACAAGGTATCTCTGTGAAGGGAACAACTTGCATAACTGGAGGGAAGGCGGCAGTCTGGTTAAGCTCTCTGTTTGTTCTTTTCAGTATTTGAGCTTCTATCTGGAAGAACAAATCCTTTCTGGAAGCCCCATTCCCTCTATCAAACACACATGCCCAAGTCCCTGTCGAGAGTCAGCTCATTCTAAAACTAGGAGACCTGTTACTAACATATGTGAGCATCAAAAATAAACAGACACAGTAAAGGTAAAGGTAAAGGCCCTCCCGTTGATCGTCGATTTGCTCGAGCGGGCGCAGTAACGTCTCCATTGGAGACTTTTGTTGTTACTGTGTCTGGCATATCGAATACTCTCGGTAGCTTGCCAGGCTCTCCCAGAGGGGCGGAGGAATCGAGAACTCGAGTCAGCCATGTTGGCCGCTTGTAAGGCAAACGCCCTACCCGCTGTGCTATCGCTCCAACAGACACAGTAAGGAACAAAAATGAAGGGAAGGAAAGTTTTGCAGGGAGAAAGGCTGCATGTTGAAGAATGGATAAGATTAATTAGGAAGACATATGAAGTCCGAGTTG